TTCGGCGGGAGGTCCTTTGCTCCGAGTGGGAGTGAGGGACCGTCCGCCGAATTGCTGCCAAATAGCTGGACGTGCCGCCCCTCTCCGGAGTGACCGCCCCAAGCACCTGCTTGCCAGGCTGGTGCCTGGAGCCGGCCCTGACTACCGACATGCATCATCAGTTAAATCCTCAATACGTGTTTTGTTGTGCTGCTTCATTCAGGGGTCTGGGTATGATAATGAAGTCTACTTGGGATCTATCCTGCTTATTGAAGCAGCAAAGAGCAACAGAGCTCCCTGGATGAGAAAAAATGGCTTCATGTATCATGCCAGACTATTATGATGTTGACACAGACTCTTTCAGGTGCCTCAGCCAAATATTCCTTCAGTTCCTAGGAGAAACATCAGTGCTTGCTTCCAATATTAGTTTGAACAGTGCTCTGTTTTTATCATGTTCCAAACAAGAAAATTGGAGGGAAACCAAGTTCTGCTCAACTTTAAAAATATACAGTGTGAGTTGTAACTGGATTTATTTTGGGTTTAATCCTAAAATACTGCCCTTACGTATGGTGTACATTCCCAGTGCATAGTAAGATTACAAGAGATTTCTAGTTTGTCAAGCTTTTAATGAGCTTTCTGTTTCTACATGTTGATGTAACGTCTCTTTAGGAAATTAATGGGACTTTAAATATTCTCACCATAATGGTGCTCACATTCTATTTTCAGAGTTATGGAAAGTATCAAACAGGCATATGGTGTATCCACCTATAGGCAAATAGACTCTGCTCCTGCACCACAGAAGTCAGTGGGAGCTTTGCCATTGATTTCAATAGGCATGGGATCAAGCCCATAATTTGACAGTTTATAATTCAATCATTATTGGTTAATGGAAGAAACAGGGCCAGACCCCATTATTGATTAATAGAAAACAACCTTCCTAATTTCAAAATGAAGTGATTTTTGTTCTACAGGGGGAGCATAATATCGTCTTGAAACGGGCTTCCTGTATCTGGGGGTTGGTCTTGACACACACTATTGTGAATTTGGGCAGAGTTTGGTCATTCAAGGGGGTGTGAGAGCTCATTCACTTTGAATAATTGTTGTGCATAAATAATATACATTGGCAGACATTCACAGTTTTGCATTGATGCATTTTAGTGGCACTGCCCTCTGTAGTGCTGTAAATCCAACAGTTTCTCTCAATACTTTACTGCCCTTTCCTATATTATGTACATAGAGTCAGATGAAAGGAGAATTTGAAGCACATTTGAAGAAATGCCAGCCAATAACTAAATTTTACATCATTATATTTATTTGAATCCAGGTGGGTAGTTATAAAGGCAGTTATAACTTTCCCTGTACTTTAGAAATGTAAGGGAAAACCTTATAAACTTCACTTAATTGGTAATAATAGAGAAAACTGTAGTCTCCATTAAAGCAACAGAGCCAATTCTGGTCTGATAAAGTGCAATGAGCAGCTCTAAATAGGTTTTAATTAGCTGCCGCCAAAGCTGCACCACCCTCAGGGATGGGTACAATTAATGAAAACTAGCAGCAAATAGATCAATGTTACCAGATGTTATTGCCTTAGGTGAAGGTGATGAGGAGGAAGGGAGTGTCTTTTAAGGATCATTTAGAAAACAGTCTGCACTAAAAGTCACTTTCAGAAAGCAATAATATAATGAATCCTGAGTTTGCTAATATCACCTAAACCAGTATAATGTGAACTCCATTTCTATCTATACTGCAAACAGCTCAGATTAACAACTCACTGTGGTGCATGTTGTATAGTGCCTTCAGCAAGAAGAGTTCTGCAATCCATTAGGGGGCCAGCAATGCTGCTATAGTGTTCCCGTTCAATTATTCCTAAAGCCATGGGACCGTCAAATGGAGCCGCTGCACAATCAATGATGCACACCAGTGGTGATATTGGTTACTTCTGGTATGAAATTTTTTAAAAGAGAAACCTAAACTAAGCACAGCTTAATCTGGTGGTTTTACTCATGGCTTATACATGTAACAACATAGAAAGCTCCATGATCTCAGATAGAAAATGTATTCCAGTGTCCTGAAATTCTCATTAAAAGAAACAAAATAAGAGGACTCTAAAACCTGGCCTGTTTTGTATGCGATTGACTTCCCATACACACCATCTGAACTCTCTATTACACCCATACCCAAACAATTCAGTTCAATGACACTTTATTGGCATGCTTAGCTATGCAAGTGTCCCTAAAAAAGATTCAGTGGTCCATGTTTTCAACCAGGGAGTACAAATAAAACAACTCCCCCTCCCCCCCCAAAAAAACCCCTGTTCCTTAGTTTGAAGGGTTATTTTTTGTTTGCTTGGTTGGTTGGGTTTTTTTTTTTTTAATATCTTGGACAACTCCTAAAGCAACTAAATGGCTTTTGTGCTTCACTTCCAGAAGTTCTCAGCCTCCTCTGTGCTTGTGCCAGATGGTGCTGCTTATTAGGTTGTGAGAAAGCTGTTTTATCATTTGAGGCAGAGAGATGGATCATTCTGCTCACTTACTTCTGAGTCAAGATTCAGAATTTGGGTGGGGTGTTCAACCTGCTATTTTGTGCAGTTACTCGTTAATTATTTATTACCTTGGCAATATATGAGCCTTTTATTAGAACACTGTCATTTAGCTCTCACCAATTATATTCATTTACTGTTCAGATTGACACTGTTAGATAACTGCAGTCATCGCAGCTCACCTCAACTAATATGTGGTTCTCCATGTGTCTGATTAATCTATACAAAGCCTTAGACTAGTGAGGATATCACTGAAATTAAGCAATAAAAGTACATCATGTTGCTGCCACTTATATTGTTTACTTCATATGACAGTCTCACCAAAGTAATTAAGCTAGTAGTGGGCAAATATCAGTGCTTTAAACAATTTCCATGGATGTTGGCTTGAATCAAATACTGAATTGCTTGGAGCATGTTTGTGCCCCTTTTGTACAGTAACTTCTCACTTAAAGTCATCCTGGTTAACGTCGTTTCGTTGTTATGTTGCTGATCAATTAGAGGACATGTTAGTTTAAAGTTGCGCAATGCTCCCTTATAACGTCGTTTGGCAGCTGCCTGCTTTGTCCACTGCTTGCAGGAAGAGCAGCTGGTGGGGGCTTGGAACCAGGGTGGACTGGCAGCCCCCCTAAGTTCCCTGTGCGGCAGCCGCCCAGCCGGCTATCAAATTGCCGGCAGTTCAGCTGTCCCTTCCCCCACCTCCATGTGCTGCTCCTGCCCTCTGCCTTGGAGCTGCTTCTGCTTGCTGTGCAGTGGGGGGAGAGAGGGAGGCTAATATCAGGGTGTCCCCCTCCCCCCAGCTCCTGTACCTCACTTAGCCATCTCCATGTGGGGGGGAGGGGCGATATGACAGGGCTCAGGACGGAGGGAGCTTTCTGGGAACAGCTGCTGTCTCAACTTGCTTATTAAATAACAAGACAGTGTACTTAGAGTGGAGTCAGCCTACTTAAAGGGGCAATGCGCATCTCTCTCACACACACAGGGTGTGTGTCTCTGTCTCTGTCTGCCATGCTGTCTCCCCTCCCTCCATTTGTGCTGCCTTGTAGAGTGTGTGGCTACATTAACAACCATGGGTTAACCCTTGAGGGCTCAGCCGATTGCTAGTTCATCATTTAGCAGTAAGGCATTCCCTGGGAAGTATCCCACCATCTGACTTCACCATCTCAACCAAGCTTCACAATCATTATGTCTGTGTACAGTATTTGTTTAAAACTTATGCTGTGTGTGTGTGTATGTATGTGTATATAATATAGTCTTTTGTCTGAATTTTTTCCCCCTGGAACCTAAGCCCACCTATTTACATTAATTCTTAT